CTTAACAATAGAATTAATAGAAAACCGTCACTAAAATAGTTAGGTGTCACACTTAACTTATCTTTGTCAGGAGGCGGCGTCGCCGAGTAGTTAGGGTGCTGGACTTGTAATCCGGTGTCCCCCGGGTTTAAGTCCTTCACCCTGCCACTCACCGGATTTGTTCTCGGTTGCCCCTAGTTGAACTCCTCGGCTGTGCTTTGTAAATAGCCCACTGGTCTGCCTGCTAGGCAGACGTTGTAAATAGCCCTGCTAGTCTACACTGTGGCTGAAAAGTCCCTAGGGGGGAGCTTCAATTTACGTATTTGTCCTGGGGCAGATCGTCTTAGCGAAGATAAATCAACGAATAGGCCTCATCAGGAGATTACAAACCAATTATCATTACAAAAACACTGTACGGGGGCATAAAAAAATGATAACGCCTCAACGTTAGAATTAACGTCAGAATTAATTAATCTTTTTCCTGGTTTCCACGAGGAAACATGGCTTAATAATTCTAACCATTCGACTCGCCTTCTACTTTATAGGCGTTATGTTAACGACACCTTTTGTGTCTTCCACAATGAACAGGATGCTATGTCATTTTTTGATTACATTAATTCACGGCACCCCAACAAATTTCTTTAGTTTTATTCCATCATGTTACAAAATTGGTCTTATCCAAACTCTTATTGACCGTATCTACAGAATCAACAACACGTCTTCCGGCCTTCAAAACGATCTTAATAAACTTCCCGACACTTTAGAACGTAATTCTTTTCCTCCGCATATTATTGACAGAACTTTCAAGCAGTATCTTGACGGGTCCTCCTCTCAAAATAGCCGGAACATTAATGACAATAATACACGTTACTTTAAACTCCCGTTTGTTAACTATTATTCTAAAATAGTGAACCTTAAACTCCGACAACTCGCTAAGCACTTTTGCAAATCAGACCTTAATATCAAACTAGTTTTCACTTCTTTTAAAATTAAAAACATGTTCAGTGTTAAAGATCGTACTCCTGATGCTCTAAAATCCATGGTAGTTTACCAATTTTCTTGTGCGGGTTGTAATTCCCGTTATATTGGCGAAACGGTCGCCACTTCTCTACTAGGATAAAGGAGCACATGGAAAGCGATAAAAACTAGCATATTTTTAAGCATTTAATAATAATAATGTAATATTTATATTGCTCAAATTAACATGTGGATATGATCAAATGCGCATCACAACACTTTTCGGGGGACTTTGGCCGAATTGCATCAGCAGTTTACAAACAATCGAAGGAAACAGATTTGAAGATGCCCCCTCCCACCAATTCCCAGTAAACAGGGCAAACCTCATCACAGTAATCTCGTAAGTGGGTTCTTCAACACATCTCCTTCTTGTAAGAACAAATACTCCCTTTCGTATGATGCACATATGAAGTTCATATATTTTGAACTTATGCAATAGCGAAAATCAGACTTGAAAAAAATCAGGCCTGTACGGGATTCGAACCACTGACCTCTGCGATACTAGTGCAGCGCTCTAGTGCGAGGATCGTGCATCATACGTATCTATAACCGCAGTTCAAGATATATGAACTTCATATATTCATCATATCTGAATACTCTCTTTCTTGCTTTAGTATTCTGGATTCTGCTAACAACTCAATTGATTTAAAACTCAAAGAAGCTTTTTATATAAATAAGACGAAACTTGAACTTAACAAACAATTACAGCATTATAACACTTTTCTAGCGTTTAAGTTCACACCTTTGATGTTTGGTGTCGCGTTGTAATAAGTACCCGCCTTTGTATTACATCATACTGTAAATATTTTATTCATCTACTTGTATGCTATATAATTACTCACGTTCAGTTGCTCATTGATTGAAGATGGCATAAGCATGCCGAATCGTGTCTCTCAAAAAAGTTGTCTATTTCTTACAAGAATAACAGGTCCTACAAAATGAGGCAGCCAAAGTTCTGATGGGGCACTCGCCCCGAAGTTCATCAACCGAAACATTGAGAGCGACTTTGTGAATTGACCGAGTGAAAATCGAAAAGTGTGGCACATGGTCGAAAAATTGAAAATCTTCATATTTCAGTCAGGTGCACCTTATAGTGAACATAGAAACCTGGTAAGGTTTTTTTCTTTTCTTCCCAGACTCAACCTTGTTCCCATGGCCCTTTCCCTTAGTTGGTGGTGGGGCGGGAAAGGCCCTGGCATCAGCCAGTCACACTGGGATTTTGATTGGTTGATTGATTTAGATAATTTATGTAAAAGTTTGCCATTTGAAAATAATGTACGCATGATTCCGAAGTCAAAATGGCGGAAAGTGTGCCAACTCCGACAAAGATCTCTCCAAGAAATCCGGTTTGCAGACTCTGCGGTGATTCTCACGAGAGTCGTTATATGTTTTGAATATTAAGCAAAGCTGGTTCATCAAAGGATCTGTGTGCAAAAGTCCAGAAAACCTGTGGCATAAAATTTCTGAGGACAATACGAGATCAAAGGTCTTCATGTCAGAGTTGCGGTACATTCGTAAACAAGATGGAACAGTTTATGAAGAAAGCTCAATCAACGGAGTGTATGCCGTCCGATCAAAGATAAGAATATGTTTTTATAGTTATCACTATGTCGGCCGAATACTTACCTTTGTGTAGGCATTCAACCAGAGAGTTGTCAAAGGTAGACATAGATGTAACTGTTAATTAGAGTATAAAGGTAGACAGATCAGCACGGACTCACTATGTGGCTTTTGCGGTCGCGTCCCATTATCGCCTTCATATTTTTTCTCTCGCAAGCGTGTAGGTAAGACTCCACTAACATCCTGGCCTTTCAGCATACATCTGTAAAATTCACCTTTGTTGATTATAAACTGCTATTGGCAGTCTGGTAAAGTCTCCCGCACAGTATTGTAAAGCGCCTTAAACATAAGATAAGACCGCTATAGAAATAAAAGTTATTGTTATTATTATTAGTTTTATTATTATTATTATTATTATTTTACGGCTACTGACGTTCGTTTCAGTTTTCATGAGTTTTCTAGGATAAAGAGGCAAGTCTGGAAAAAAAAAACCTTACCAGGTGTGAAAGTGTGAAGCAAACATGGCGGTCGGACCTACGTCGGCGAGCTTGCTTCAAATTCTAGTATTTTTGTTTATAACAGCAGTCTTAATAGAGCTTTATACTATTACTAAAAATAGATTTTGTTACATGATAACCT